CCATGACAGGTTGTCCTGCTATCAGCTTTGGTAGATCTTTTGCTCCTTTATCATGATGTAACTTTGCCTTACGTCGCTTTGTTATTATTTGAGGGACAACATTGGTTTATACCTCTGGCTTGTACAGGTTGGTTGCACAGGAATCGCGATCCCCGTCCATATGAACTGACGTTTATAGTAAGCACAGCTGGAATCAACCGGCTAAAAAAATGCCACCTCCGGCTCGTAATGCACTACTTGCAATTCTTGAAATACTTTGTGTCGCTTTTCTGCTTTTTTATAAAGTTGACAAGTTGCGTCAGCTCCATTCTCTGTGAATGTTGAGTTGCTGTTTCGCTGCTTCGACAAATGCTGATTGCTCTATCCAAGGTGAGATCCTTTTCTCTTAGCAGTCTTTGTTGTGTTTCGCTGTTGTGAATTCCAATCACTATTCTAATCTCAACATCTCGTTTTCTAGAGTGGCGAGATATTTGCAGGTCGATATCTTTTCTCTCAGTCGACTCAGGTAGCGGTCAAATCTCTCGTCAAGCTTTTGTGTACATGTATTGAACACATACCGTTCTAGCCTGACTAATTATATGGTAAATAGGTTTATCATATAATTATCTATGAACTACCTATCTCATTTTCGTAAAGTTGATCCTCTATATAGGTTATCGGTTTATGAAAATGAGACGGGTATGGTAAAAGAAAACACTTCAGTGATCCACCTTATAAGCAATAGTTTATTTGATTTTATATAGTGTTCAAGAACTGTAAAGAACTCTATAAACGCGGTTTTAGACAAAACGGTGTATACACCATCGACCCGGATGGCAAAGGAAGATTCAAGGTAAAAGTCTTCCATTTTTTTACGTTTTTGCTATAAAATCATATCTAAAATAAAGAAATATAAAATCTGGCTATATATACAATACACATAAAAGCATTAGTTTGAACAATTCTTATGTGCCCAAAGACTGTACAATGACAATAAAAAGCTAGCTATAGAAATATATACTCATATCAAGACCTCAAGCGTCCATTCAATTTCCAGGTTTACTGTGACCAAAAGACCGATGGCGGAGGCTGGACAGTTATCCAGAAAAGACAAGACGGTTCAGTGAACTTTTACCGAGGATGGATGTACTATAAGAATGGATTTGGAGATCTGAAAGGCGAGTTTTGGTTGGGCCTCGATAAGATCAATCGACTGACCCATCAAGCTAAAAATCGTCTTCGTGTTGACCTGATGGATACCAAAGGAAAGACCGCGTATGCCGAGTACGATTACTTTGCTGTGGCCAGTGAACGAGCCAAGTACAAGCTGAGTCTTGGAACTTACTCAGGTATTCATAAGCTGATTAAAGTGTAATTTCCCTCTCTTTTTTGACAACATTTCTCCCATAACGTTAATGCCTTTATCGCCTTTCAATGCAATGGTTTCTATGTTTTTCATTTTTTATATATTGTTCCAATGACCATTTATTTGCCGCGGATTTTTTTTTTCTATTTTGAAAGCTGCACCAAACGAAAAGTAATGACTTTCTTGGTCGGGTTGGTATATTTGTGAATAACCATGGATTTTAGAGAGATCTCTGATTTTCCATACAGGTACTGCAGGCGATTCACTGTCCTACCATCGCGGTATGCCTTTCACAACCAAAGATCGTGATAATGATAAGTCGAGTAGTAACTGTGCTGTACTGTTCAAGGGTGCCTGGTGGTACAAACACTGCCATGCATCCAACCTTAATGGTCTGTACCACCACGGTAAGCACAAGTCCTATGCTAACGGTGTGAACTGGCTTTATTGGAAGGGTCATTACTATTCCGCTAAGAGAGCTGAGATGAAGATAAGACCAGTGTAATAATTGTCAGTCTGTTGTACCAACTGAGTACAAAATAAAGATGATTTGAAAAACACATTGTTTTAATTTCATTTTAAGAATCCCCTAACATGACTAATTGATGTTTATCTTTCGATATATTTGGACAGTTTATTCTTCAATATGTTTACTTTATTCCTCCATGAATTAGATTTTTTTTCTTGGTGGAAGAGTAGTACTAGTGATATCTAACATCATGTATGCGTAATTGCGTTTCATTTGATCATTTTCTTTTATAATACACTTGTATTTTTGATGTATTAATTGAGCAACACTTATTTTTTGTGCCTAAACAAAGAGGAGTACATTTGGATTTTTCATAAGGAGTGTTTTCAACCTTTTACCATTTTTCCTATATTTGAGGTGATCTTGAAACAATTTTGTTACATCCCACAACATTACAAGGAACTATAAACAAWAAGTGCTCGTATCAAAGAATCTGGTAGAAACTTTGATTTCTATGGTCTTCCATATATGGTCACGATCGATTAACTAAAACAATAGACTGGTGTAAACCGCGCGAGATTCAAAATCACAGCGAAACAAAAGAGATTCATTAATATGCGGATTTGAGCTGAATCTCGAACAGGACTCATTTGACCATGAAGTGCTCGGAAATACTTCGTGACTGTATAAAACTTATATTACTGGGGGAGGGGGTGGGAGATTCATGTTTATTAGTGAAACATACACCATTTTGTTCATGCTAACCCATCGAAACATTGAAATCAAAAACAATCTGCCCGTAAATGCTAAAAAGTTTGAAAAAGTCTAAGAGCGAAGAAGACACAACACGTCGGATTAAAATCATTCGTTATCAATACAGTGCACTACGATGCAGAATGCTTATATAGTTTCAAGATCCTACTTTAGTATATTCTGAAATATAAACGATATGGTATTAATAAAGTAAGAGTCAAGTTCTTGAGAGTTAAATAGTGCCTATCAACATCGTAAAGTTTTCCTGCTCCAAGGCTGACCTTGTAGCTCAGCTGGTAGAGCATTGGTAGTAGAAATCGAGGGTCGAGGGTCGAGAGTTCGAATTCCAGCGAGGTCGACGGAAATTAATTTTTCCGAATTTATTTCCAATGGTCTTTCTCCCGGAATATTYTTTCATTGGTTGAAAAGCAATTGGGCAAAACGCGAGCAACCACTCAAAAGTCTTTGTCAATATAACGACAGAAAATTCAACAAGGAAGAACCGAAAAATTGAGTAAAGATCAAAAGATCTCAAGAATAAGGTAATAAATGCGGGCAAGGAAAGAAAGAGAAAGAGTAAAGAAAGAGAAATTATGAAGTCAATTGGAAACCTACAATTTGGAATAGCATTTGAAGTAAGTCGGTTGTTTTTAATATTTTGATTCCATAAGCAAATAAATATTCCTACTTCCCTGTTGAATGTAAATAGTGAAAGCTGACTTGACGCGCACCGCCAGCATTTCTTTTTCAGGAATACTGCAACAATTGCAATGGCAAAAATAATATGAAATCAAATAAAATCCTCATTCAAAATTTCATTATCGCTTTCGAATGTACTCTAGTTAATGTGAACAAAGGACCGTTTAACTTTAGTATTGTGGTTTATAATACAAACTATACAACAGAAAAGAAACAGGAATTTTCCTTTAAACAAGCGCAAAAGTAAATATTTAT